ATATCTCCTGGGGCGATACAGGGATGGAGTTGCTAGTGCACTACGAAGGCAAAGCTTCATCCGACACACAGTCCAGATGGATCAGCGACGGCAGGAAATACGCTCCATGGCGCTACGAGAGCCGCAACATGTGGTCCGACACGGCAGGCAGGAAGTGCGTGGCGATGCCGCGCATCAAGGAGCAACTACATCACGTTCCAGTAGACTGGACGCAGTCACTCTCCGAGCACAAGATCGAGACACAAAGCGTTGGCGAACGGTTGGCGCATCGGAGTCGTCAAGCGGTTTTTCATCTTCAGCCTGTTCTGCATCAGCCACGCCAAGGCCGAACACCGACGCGAACTCTGCGCCCTCGGAGCCAATTCCATCGACACCGTGGCGGAGATTTGGCGGACCGAGCCATTGCTGGTCGGCCCGGGCGTGCCGTTGGACCTCTCCGTCCTCGACCTCACGACCATCGAGGACCCGATGGAGCGCCGGAACGCAAGATGTCACTGATGCACCAACACCAGATGCCGCCACGCCTCGAACCAGGCCTCCGTCAATGGCTGCCACTCTGGCAGCATGCGAGACAGGCTTTGCCAGCGATCCGCAAGCAGATGACAAAAGACATGCGCAATCTTTGGCGGACGAGTTGCACGACCAGACCCAGGACTGGTTCGCAGGACTCAAACCACACATCCGAGCGGCGTACGACAACGGCAAAGGCGAACCGGTGATGAGCGTGCCCCTATAGCTCAATATATCGCACTGCGCTTTGGATGGCAAGACATGGACATCTTCGACGAGATGACCAACGGCCCACGGCTTCCCGCTCTGCATGGGGCAGCATAAAGTCAGGAGCCGGTTGGAGGCTTCGCAGCGACGGACGATATAGCGACCCGACACCGATTGCGGACCGCCTCGTGGCAAACGACGCCTTCGTCGTCGACAAGCTCAAAGCGTGCAAGGTGGACTCCGAATGGGAGACCATGGCAGCCGAGATCGCCGAGGACGTAAGGCAAGGCAAAATGGAGGGTCCATATCGCGGACCAAGCCACTGGCCCAAGAACACCGTGAACTTGCCCGACTTCGAGCGTACGAGCCGCCTCCTGGACCTACCGACTCGACAGCGTGCGTGCTCTTTCGCCTTTGCTGTGCGTCAGACAGGTTCGGATGGCAAGCCCAAGATCAGGCGAGCGGAGGACTGGCGACAGAGCGGAGCGAACGCAACAGTCCAGGTACCCGACTCCCCAACATACCACTCCATCGATGCCCTCGTACAACTAGCAAGAGCGTTGAGGATGGTGGCTCCGCGGGACCAACTTCAGACATGGGGTCTCGACCCTGAGAACACGCGCCGGCAGCTTCCGGCCGCCGACCCGTGCCACGCCTGCGTGATCCTGCCGACTCGACACGGAATCGCTCTTTGGCGGCGTAGGGCCCTTTTGTTTGGGTTGACCGCGTCAGTGTGGAGCTGCTGCAGAACAGCGAACCTGGCCAGCTGGTTTGGGAGAGATCTACCTGCTTCCAGCCCTGCGCTTCGTAGACGACTTTGGAGCGACGAGGTCGAGTGCACGACCGACAGCGGCTTCCAGGAGTGGACGATCACAGGTGATCCAGGGTGTCAAGATCACAGTCGACCTCGACAGCGCCACCGTGGCGCCGACGCCTGAGAGGGTGCAGCGCTTCTCAGCTCAACTACGTCAGTGCAGCTTTGTGGAGAACTGCGACCTCGAGAAGCAGCCTCGTTAGCTGGAAAACTACAGTTCCTCTGCCAATCCTTGTTTGGCAGATCGGTGCCGCCGCACTGAGGCCACTGCGCAAGAGAGCGGCCACGACCGACAAGCGCTCACAGAGAGGTGCGTACGGCGTCAGCCCGGCCATCGATGCTGCGATCCAATGGACCCTTCAGCGACTCACAGGAGCACGACCCAGGCAATACCATTCAACGTCGACCACGTGGCGGTGATCTACGCCGACGCGTTCTTCGCACTGGGTGGACTCAGGTGGCGAAATGGCGACGACCTCCCAGACTTCGAAGGCCGACCACCGGCAGCCTTCGAGAATGGCTTCGGGTTCATTGCCAGGATCCAGGACAAAGTCGTTTTCACTGCAGGCAAGCTGCCGCTATGCATGGTTCACTCGCCATTTCTCATCGAGGCGCGCGTACATCTACGTGCTGGAAATAGTCAGCCAAGTCCTACCTCTACTATACCTTCGACACGAACTTCCTCAACACGTACTTCTCTTCTGCGACAACGAGCCAGGGAGGCTGGCCTTGGTTAAAGCTACTGCAATCAACAAGCTGCTGCAGTCGATCTGGTCGTACCTCGAGGACCGTGGCATCTGGCCAGAGTGGCAAGGAGTTTCGTCGGGGGCAAACATTTCCGACGCCGTATCCAGGTTTTCTTTCGCGCAGGCTTACGCCGAAGACTGGTCCTGGACCGACCTCGACCTCGATCACCTCTTGGAGCGCATCCTCGACGCAGCGTTGGGCGAACACTGTTCTCAACTACGAGAGTGAGGGCTACGGTGCTTATTATGGTGTGCTCTGGCGACCTGACACGACTGCGAAATCGTCTGTCCGGTCAGCCAGAGACGACGCCTGCTGGATTTACTACCATTCAAAAGGGTCGTCCGATGCGCTTTGCAATTTTGCTCGTAGCTGCACAGCTGTTACATGTCATTTTTGTTGGCTTGGGGATTTATGGTCCGGGGTTGAGGGTTTAGGGTGTTAGGCTGAGGCTTTAGGGTCTAGCGTTGTGGGTTTGGTCTAAGGGTTTAGGGTTTATGGATTAAGGTTGAAAGTTAGGGCTGTAGGCTTCAAGGTGAGGGCTTTGGGGTTTATGGTTTGAGGTTGGGGGTTACGTTTTTGGGCTGTAGTCTTCAGAATAGATGGCTTGGGGTTTACGGCTCAAGGGTAATGGACACGGTGGGTACGGCCTAAGCAGGCTTGGGTGGGAGTTTAGGATTTGAAGGCTTAGGGTTAAGGCTGTAGGTGGGTTGTGTTCCAGGGGTGGCGGTGTTGGTCTAGGGATTAGGTTTGATGGTCTAGTGACAATTGAAGGTTGTAGGCTGTAGGCTTCAGTGTTTAGGGCTTGGGGTTTAGGTTTAGCCCGTAGGTTTCAGAATTTCAGGCTTGTCGTCTGGGGTTTTGGGGGGCTTTAGGGTTATGGACAAGTGTGGGTACTTTGGCTTGATAATTCATAGCTTCCCCAAAGCCATCCTGGAGCTTCCCCAGGAACCCATAATCTCCCAAAAGTTCTGGAGAGATCTCCCTAGGAGGCCTTCAACCCTCCCCGTGACCCTCACCCGGCTCTTTTCGGCGTTCCTTTCTTTCCTTCCTCACGTACTTTTACTATGAGCAATGAATAGTGTAGATATGCGCCGTTGTCACGGTGAGTATTACCATTCACCGGCTTCCTTGTACATTACTCTTTTCATTGATTTTTACCATTACCGAAACTAGATTTGCTACTTCAAAAAAAAGTACCTGCAGAACAGGGATCATAGTCATTTCTAAATATCATAAGTCATACGTGAATGGCAAAGCCAAGCCACTACAAATGTCTTTTCATCTGAAATCAGGGGTTATCGCAGATGGTGCCAGAATTCGAAACAGATGTACTATGGAACATGACAAGTAGCAACCTAGTAACATGGCACAATCATGACCTTTATTAACAGCATTCATAAGGGTGGAGTACAAGATATGCACTTGCTGATATGCCATGTAGTTTGTAGTTAGGCTACTTGGGCCAAACAGAGAATGCAGTATATCAATTCCTTTTGCTACATTACGAGAAGCATTACCAAATGTAAATATATTGGGGTGAGGCTTCTAATACAGCAAATTGTATAAAACATGTATTAGGTTTTAGTCCCGAGATACACCATTATATTGGTAGAAGTCATCTAGTGCATGCTGTACATGAAGCATGCAGCTTCATAAGCCAAAATGTGAAAACCGTTAAAAACATAAGAAATTGCGGTGTTTTTGGGTGCTCAAGGTAAGCTATCATGTGGGTATAACGCGGTCAACTGCACCCAAGATCTGTCAAAGTAGATTGTCTGGTATAAAGGATTGGGGGGGTATGTGTGTGTATAATGGTATATTGATCAGCATCATGAAGTATGTCGAGTCGGGCCCCTCCACTGTACGCCCCATGCTCTTAGTATGAAAGCATGCAAATGCAAGCAGGGCTTCGGGAACTGGATTCACAGGAAGCATCCATACTATAGTGAAGGCCTGTCCCCCCCTTTGATTTGATTTTGTTTCTATTCTAGAAGAGGCCTATCTCACGAAAGTGGATAGAAATACTAGGATTAGATCTTGGAGAGCTGCGGAATGACATTTTCATGGTAATCAATATGCATGCAGCATGACCTTCCCCCCCAAAAACGGGGCTGGGTATGGATGGACTCAATGGACAGTTGTGGCATTGCTTCCAAGACGTGTCGTATTTATTGGCTTTGGATATTCAACATAACATCAAGTATAAGGATATCCTTGCCATAAATGGTTTATTCCGCGAGAGAACGCCCATGAAGGGTATGGATGCGCCTCATAGAAAATCATTGCAGGTAGCATTTCTACAGTTTATTGGCTCTGGCTATGCCAGGGGGTTTCCACAACAATTGCAAATATGTAAAGATCTTGATCACAAATGCTATATGTTGCAAGAGAACTCCTACACAGCCTCTTGCCTGAGTGTTTCCTTAAGCCTGAATTTCCCCAAGCTTCCATGAAGTATTCTCATAGACTATGCCAATCTTGTCGTGTTATATACGCATACCCATATACATCTTGCCACCAGCAATATGGATATGACAACCTATATGAGTTAAACTGGTCATGTTGGTGAGGACTCGCTCGATACACTTAGCAGCATTTATCGAAGTTCTATTATGTCAGATTAGCTCTGCTAGGGGGAAACTTAACTAGGATAAGGGTGAACTGGAGTATAAAACGTTGTTGGCAGAACCTTCAAAATCTAAAGAAAAAATAATTCAACAACGTTTAAAAAAGACTGAAAATACACACGGAAGGAAGATCTGCGAGTCCGATCCGCTTCGGGACTCCCTGCAATCTGATTTGCGATTCCCGCCTTCGGGCGCGATCCGATTGACGCCGCCCCCGATTCGATTCGTGGGGGTCCGGTGCGCGTCGGATCCGACCCACTCACCGATCTGATTTGTGCCCACCCCGATCCGATTCCCGTGATCCGATTCGTGCCGCAACCGATTTTGGGGAAGAGGGCATGTGATCTTGATGTCAGCCGCTTGACTCTGGCAAGCAGATTCTGCAAAGTTTGCCTGCAGAGAAGAGTCGAAAGAGACGATTGCCGCATGCCTTAGGTCATGCTAAGCCTGCAACACTCTTGGTCCCCCAAAACTCTTGGACTCATTTGAACTCAAGGCCTGGCCAGGTCTGCCCGGCCGAGTTTTTTTCGTGCCTTTTTGCACGCATGAGGTCGAGTATGAGGAGCAAGACCTAGAACCCGAGTGCGGACCTTAACTATGGTCAGGCATTGTGATCAAGCCATGTGGATTTCCTTTGCTGAGACACCCTGAATCACCTGAGGTATGTGGAGAGGATCGTTGAAGTTCCCCGGGTCCGAGTAGACCATGTAGAACGGATCGTGGAGGCAATGCTCCTTCTTGTGGTGCGTGTATGGGACATGCTTGCTGTTGTAGGTGCCAGAGATTCAGATGGTTGACAGAATTGTGGAAGTCCCACAAGTCCAAGATGCCTCAACCTTATGGCCTTCTTGCGTTGAAGAAGGCTTTGATCAGAATTGCGTACTCCTGCAGAAGGTCATGGAAGCAGATGGTAGATATGGAGGCCAGCTGCATTCGATATTCTTGCTCCTTCTTTTTTCAACGTTGCAGGCGCTGGTGGTGGAGGATTTGGCATGGGCTTTGGTCGTCCAGGTGGTCCTGGTGATGGGATGCCTGGCGGTGCAGGTGGATATGGACCGGGAGCAGGTTCTGGCGGACTAGGCTATGGGTACGGCTGTGGGCCTGGTGGTGGCTTCGGGCCTGGTGGCGGCTATGGACCTGGTGGCTATGGGCCTGGTGGCTGTGGCCCTGGCGAAGGCTGTGGGCCTGGTGGTGGTTATGGGGCTGGGCCCGATGGGTGTGGCGGTTGCGGGCCTGGTGGTGGCCCTGGCGGTTGTGGGCCTGGTGGCGGTTGTGGGCCGGGTGGGGGCTGCGGGCCTGGCGGGGGCCGCGGCCCTGGTGGCGGTTGGGGGCCTGGTGGTGGTTGCGGATTTGGTGGGCCTGGAGGTGGTGGTTGCGGGCCTGGAGGCGGTGGTTATGGGCCTGGAGGCGGTGGCTGTGGGCCTGGTGGCTGTGGGCCTGGTGGCTGTGGGCCTGGTGGCTGTGGGCCTGGTGGCTGTGGGCCTGGTGGCTGTGGGCCTGGCGGTTGTGGACCTGGTGGTCCTGGTGGTCCTGGCGTGTTCGGGCCAGGTGGGTATGGAATTGATGGAGGTGCTGGAACTGTTGCTTTTACTGGTGGTGCTATGGATGTTGGCTCATCCAGTGGGAGATATCCTTACTACGGTGATGAAGGCACGCCGCTGTCATTTGCTGAGCTGTTCAGATCTGCCTACTTGTGCAACTCGGTTTCGCTCAGGTGCAGCTGGGTTGGGAGGCGGTGTTGGCTTTGGCGGTGGCCTTGGTGGGGGCTTGAGCGGGGGCTTCGGCGGGGGCTTGGGCGGTGGCTTCGGTGGTGGCTTTGGTGGCGGCTTTGGGGTTGGCTTTGGTGGCTGCAAGGGAGGCTTTGGCCCAATGGGCTTTGGCCCAGGGGGTTCAGGCCTAGGCATGGGCCCGGGTGGTGTGGGAGGCTTTGGGCCAGGAGGGTTTGGACCAGGCCAAGGAGGAATTGGTGGCCGTGGAGGCCTGCAGCGATGCTTTATGGAGCTTCATGGCTTCCATGCTTGTCAGTTGCGATGCAGGCAAGGGTGGGCGAGGTAACGTGCCAGTGAAAGTCATAACCCGAGAGGCCCGTGACAGATGGACTGAAATAATTTGCCAAAGGATCCAGTACTTGCATACTGAACGCTCTTCACCTCACAGGTGCCGAAAGTCGAAGTCAAGCAGGTGGAAAAAGTTGTCGAGGTGCCCAGCACTTCGCTTCAGTTGACCTGTAGAACTACCCAGCACTTCGATAGATTCCCAACATCGAGTACGAGGACCGTCTCGTGGAAGTCCGTGAGGCGAGAGGTTCCTCTTTTTATATTCGACGCTTTTGGAGGGCAGTGCTCAACGAACGAACTTAAAGGCGCTTTTCTGCTCTCAGCGCCAGGTCCGGGAGGTGGTGCGGCGCGTTCCACGCATAGAAGTTCGAGAAATCCCAATTGAGAGGGTCATTCAGGCAAGCTGAGTCTCATTCCCGCAGCGCTCACAGACAGCTTCCCTACCATGTTGCCACAGGTACCTAAGAAGATTGTACAGGAGGTTGAGCAGCCTGTCTACAGGCCAGTACCGCATCTGGCACAGCGCTTACACAGTTTTGTGACGTCCTAGTGCCATCCATTGTCTTGCCGCATTAAGTCTGAGCCCGATGATTGGACATGTCCTTGCCTCTCGCTCAGGTGAAGCAGCAGGTGGAGCGGGAAATTCCAGTTGCCAAAGCATATACTCAGACACTGGAGGTTGTGAAGCAGGCGAGTCGCTGGGGTTGAGCCGCATTTCCGCACGCATCAATCACAGCACCTGAGCAGGTTTCAGTGCCAACCAACGAATCTGGAGTTGTTTTGCCACAGTCGACTGTGGCACCACAGCTGGCACAGACGTCAACCTCGCCGGCCTCGGTCGTGGTGCATGCGCCGAGTGTTAGCAGGACATATGCACTGCCGGCGGTGCCCAGCACAGGTCCCACATCTGTTTCCTGGCTGCATTGTCCTTTTAGAAAATGATTCTCAAGCCCTTTGCCCTTGACGATCAGGCTTGCCAGGGAGCCGCAGTCTCAACGCCGACGGCTGCCATGGACTCGGAGAGCCTGGCTTGGCGGGGGCTATTTGGCAAATATTTCCTCCAAGAGTCAGGTGCCCACAGGTGCACTTGGGGCAGCGACACCACCAGCAATGTACCCCGCTTCAGCAGCAAGCCTGGCATGGTGTCAATCCGGCCTTGTCGAAGCTACGCTTCTACTGGGTGGTGTGCCTGTCGCTGAACCACCATTTGTAGAGGGCTTCAGCTGCAGCTCGTTGCCTGACGTGTCTTGAGATGTTCTTTTGAAGCGCCCGTCTCCCAATGCTACCTTTCACAGGGCATTTTAAGAATTGGGATGGTTAGCACCATTGGGTCCTCGTTTCTTTTCAACGTGGCAGGCATCCATGGCGGCTCCATCGCCACTTTCCTCACAGAACATGCAAACCTATGCGATACAGGGTGGGTTAGCTTCACCTTCAGCCATGTTTGTGCCGCTGAACTGTTTGAGCAAGTTGTTGTTGGTCATTTACCGCGAACTTGCTTTGTTCCTGCCAGCCTGCGACTTCCGGCACAGCAGCCGGTCGCGGCATGGGTGCCCGGCCCTTGGTCGCTTATTCGGTGGCCAGGACTTAGTGACTTAGAGCACATCTTGTGTTGCATTGCAGG